ACTCTTTTGACCCAGCAGTCCACACCTACCTAATAATGCAATGTGCTTACACTGTCAAAGGGCAAGATTTGGCCTTTAAGATCATAAGAGTAATCTGGAGCTTGAAGTTAGTTTTTCAAGTAGTTGTTTCACAGAACATTTTCCCCAGCAGTAGCTTTTGTAGTGACTTCTCTGCAGGCTTAGTTAATGTCGGTGAAGCAGGTTGAACAGATGGAGCACTATACAAGTGGACTATGTAATGTATTAGTGGTAGTATGAATGATAGAGCTGTGTAGTAAAGACGGGTTCCAGCATGTCTGTGTAGCTGGATAATCAGCGGAGTCAGTTTTACTTATAAAACAGCTTTCAATTTCATGACTCTTTAAATACAGTATTTTTCAAACAACTGCTTCCTGCCATGGGAACAAGTCTGAGGAGTTTGACTGTCGTGTAATCATCTGGGTGATACCCTGTTCATTTTAACTGAACATACTGCAGAGACAAGATCATGGAACCTTAAACTGCCAGCAGCTTAATGGATGGGTTTTCTTTAACCTGAGCTGTGCTGACCCAAAGGATAGACAGTATGCCAGCCAGATCACTCCAGAAAAGTGCTGCTCTCAACTAGACAGGAGCAGGTTCAGGAGACACTAAACGCTGAGAAGAGGCAGTTTCTTCCAGATAACATCTGACTAACACTACCAGCTCAGTCTGTGTTTAGGCCTCCTGGGCTTTCAGGAGACAGGGAGGCAATGTGTATTGATCCTAGACCGAAACCAATGGAATGCAAAAGCTGCAATGGATACGTGTTCCTGCTCTGTCTTCCTTCTGCTGGCCACTACATTTCAGTTGTAATACAGCATTTACGCTTGTTCAGTCTGGCCAGACCAGGCATGCTGCCTAATTTAGCATGCTTATGTTTCTTTCCTTTTATTAGTTAGTGTGTTCTAGTAATCAAACGGCTGTTCAAGGACTCCTTGTTTTTGTTCTGGCTTGGTTGCACATGTGCAACTGTTCAGAGAATTTATCTAAATCTGTGAGGGGTTTTGAACTTTAACTTAATGAGATCTGCCTGGGGAACAGAACCAAAGAGGAGCTTAGAGTAAAGCCTATTGTAAGGAAAGCACGTAACAAGCAATATACACTTGTGTACTTGCAGCCTCCAGTTTCACATCAGTTCTGGGAAAAAAGGGATGATAGCTTTCACAACTGGGCAGGAGCCTCAGATCTATAAAGCCAAAAATGGACACCTAACAGTGGTAAGAACTAGAATTCTAAGTTGCATCTAATGCTCATCACGTGGGTGACAAAGTGAGCAGAGACTGCTCTGGTCATTTGGAAGACGGGACCAATCAATTCCTCTTGTCTGTGCATATAGTGTTGGGGTCAGATAAATGACTGCTTCATATTACTCAATAGATCTGCACTCTGTGTATCCCGAGTCCTGCCTACTCACCTTAGTTACACATTCTTACTGCTGCTTCCTCCTGTTAGCCCTGCAGAGCCAACCTGGCAATGGAGGGGAAGCTAGATTCTCTTCTGGCTTCTGCAGCAACTGAATTGTTCACCAGACTCCACTGCAGAATCTTCCTCTAGAGTGGGAATATGTGAGCCTGCAAACACACCTGAACTTTCAGGTGCCGGGTAGAGGTTTTTGTGACTTCGGTTATTTCTTCCTAACCACCAAACTTTACATCTTTTCCCTGAGAAAGCAAGAACCTCACGGTTCCATTGGCAGTTACTTTCCAGAGCACAACCATATCTTTAAGGCAATATCAAGTCTCTAGAGGCTGGTGGATAAATCCTGCCTCACACTGTGTCTGGTAATAGGGACTCACTTCCTCACTCTTGCTAGCATTTGGGTAGAGAAGAGCAGGACGACTGACTAACAAGCCAGTGTGAAGAGAACTCTTCCTCTACCAGTCCAAATGTCTCATGGGCACCAAGTCTCCTCATCTCAAAGATATACTGGCATTAGAAAAGGTTCAGAGAAGGGCAACTAAAATGATTAGGGGTTTGGAACAGGTCCTGTATGAGGAGAGATTAAAGAGGCTAGGACTTTTCAGCTTGGAAAAGAGGAGACTAAGGGGGGATATGATAGAGGTTTATAAAATCATGAGAGGGGTGGAGAAAGTGAATAAGGAAAAGCTATTTACTTGTTCCCATAATATAAGAACTAGGGGCCACCAAATGAAATTAATGGGTAGCAGGCTTAAAACCAATAAAAGGAAGCTCTTCACACAGTGCACAGTCAACCTGTGGAACTCCTTGCCTGAGAAGGTTGTGAAGGCTAGGACTATAACCGGGTTTAAAAGAGAACTAGATAAATTCCTGGAGGTTAAGTCCATTAATGGCTATAAGCCAGGATAGGTAAAGAATGGTGTCCCTAGCCTCTGTCAGAGGGTGGAGATGGATGGCAGGAGAGAGATCACTTGATTGTTACCTGTTAGGTTCACTCCCTCTGGGGCACCTGGCATTGGCCAATGTTGCTAGACAGGATACTGGGCTGGATGGATTTTTGGTCTGACCCAGTATGGCCATTATCATATTCTTATGTAGCAAATTTAACCCTACATAGTGAAAGGTAGGAGTCTCTCAAGCTGTTTCAAAGGCAATGATGCCTGCATATTAAGCAACATTTTAACTTAATTTAAAGCTGAAATATGGCAGTAGGTATGTCCATGTCTTTTCTCCATGAGCACTAACTGTCTCTGGGTGCCCATGGGTTCAGCCATAACTAAAGCACCTGGGTGCTTCACTTCCCTTTCCTTGCTGATCCCCAGAGGTGCATGTAGCATAATGTGCTTCCTGGCACTGAAGTGCCACATCCATTTGGCTCATCTGAAGTGGCTGCACAGGAGTAGTTCTTCCACACAGATCTCACCAAGGCTGGGATGTCTGCACTGGAATAAAATAATGCCTTTCTTTTATCACAGGTGTCAACCAGAACAAAGTCCTGAGGGTGAACAGGAATTCCTGCTTTGCTTATCACCATCTTTGCTCATAACAGAAAGGAACCCACTGGATGAGATCAGCACTGACATCTTCCAGCTGAAAGCTTTCTGCTGCCATAAGACTGAGATTTGAGTTCACCTGCATCTTTTCAGCTTTTGGGTTTTTAACTAAAGTTAATCAACTGTAGCTGTAACATTCAAATGATGTAGATTTGAGTTACTAGTACTAAATTTCATAAATCTGTTTAACGCAAATGAAGTTCTCTAACATTGAAAATAACTTTACTTACCCAGTAAGCAAAGATCTTAACCATCCAAGAAAGACCGAGCAAAAACAAAAGGGGTTCCCCGGCTCCTGAGCAGGGCTCAATGAGCAATTCTTTGTACAAACCAGGAGTAATGCACAAACTGCAGACCGGCAAATGTGGCAGTAGGGCCTGGAACCCACCTCTGCCCACGTGAAGGCTGTGAGCCTTCAAAGCCAGCATAGTTAGACTTCACCAGGGACAAAGTGGGCAGAATGAGTGTGTGCTCTGAACACAGCAAGAATAAGGCTGGCAACACATTCTCATTACTTGACTCAACATAGTACTAGATGAGGTTGCTTAGCTGGAAACCTCATTTGCTCTGCTTTCTTTCTGGTCAGTTAGTGTCTATAGTGGACTCAAGACTTTTCTCCATGTTGTGTATAGTAATGGCTATACACAGTACACTGTATGAGTACAAGGCACTGGAAATAGGAATGAAATGAAAATAAGATGGGCGGGGGGAGTATTCTTTGACTTTTAAATTCTATTGAGCTGAAACAATAGAACATAACAGCCACATGGGTCAGAACAAAGGTCCATCTAGCCCATTATACTGTCTTCCCACAGTGGCCAATGCCAGGTGCTGCAGAGGGAATGAACAGAACAGGTACTCATTAAGTAATCCATCCCCTGTTGCCTATTCCCAGCTTCTGGCAAGCAGAGGCTAGGGACACCATCCTGGCTAATAGGTCCATCAATGGCTATTTTCCATGAATGTATCTAGTTCTTTTTTTGAACCCTGTTATTGTCTTGGCCTTCACAACATCCTCTGGCAAGGAGTTCCACAGGTTGACTGTGTGGGGGAAAAAATACTGCCTTTTTGTGTTAAACCTGCTGCCTCTTAACAAGAACTGGGGTCACCAAATAAAGTTGAGAGAGTAAACACTTCATTTACTTTTTCTGCAAGTCATGATTTTATAGACCTCTATCATATCTCCCCTTAGTCATCTCTTTTTCCAAGCTGAAACATCCCCAGTCTTATTAATTTCTTCACACAAGCCATTCCATACCCCCAATCAGTTGTTGCCCTTTTCTGAACCTTTTCCATTTCCAATTCCAATCTGTTTCCGAACAAAGCACAATCACTTGATTTGCAGAATCTTCCACTGTCTCTTCTTGCTGAGACAAAACTACCTTCTCTAGGTGTTTGGGAAGTAAATCTGGTAGAGCAGTGGTTTTCAGCCTGTTGTCCACAGACCCCTGGGGGGTCAGCAGACTAAGATTTCCAAAGAGGCCTGTACCTCACTCTGAAAAATGTTTAGGGGTCCACAAATGGAAACAAGTTGAAGACTGTTTGAGAGGGAACAAATACAGCTGATGGCAGCAGTGGTGCTGGCCCTGCACAGTCAGGGCCACTCTTCTAGCTCAGGTATGTGGGTGGTGGCAGCTATGGGGAGGGAGTATTTCTCCTCCTTTCCCTCTTCCCCAGGCTCTGCAGATGTATTAAAGATGGTTCTTGCTACCTTAGTGTTCCCTGTGCTGCAAAGTACTCCTCCTCTTGTTCCATCAAAGCAGAGAATGCCAGACTGCATATCCTTGCCTTGCTGCCTCTCCACCCTCCTGCTGTACTCTGATGAAGGGGGAAGAGTCTGGCTTAACCAGCAATTCAACTACAATCAGCATTGGAAGGTAAAACAATCAACCTATGGGGAGACTAGAATGTGATTTAGCTTCCCCTAAAAAGGCACTTGTTATGGGAGCGAGCCAGCCAGATAAGATGAGGGACAGTTTTAAAGAGCAACAATGATCAATAGGGATGTAAATATGAAATGTTTCTAATTTATTTTGCATATAATCAAACCAAAGTATAGTACATACTGCATACACAACCATACATAATTCCAGCTTAAGCTTTTTGTGCATAGCTATACAAAGTCAGTGATTGTACAAAGCAGACAAGTTTACTAGGGCCATGCGTTCAGTGTAACCCAGGGAATGGAGAACACAGTGAACCAGCCTTAAGATTAAAAACAAGGTGCAGCTCTGACCTTCACTGCTCTACCTTTAAAGGACAAGACATTTCCATGAATAACTTGATCAGCTGCACTCTGTACTGTCAGTATTCCTGCTTGTATTGCATGCTGGAAACAATGACATGTGGGCATGAGCCTGAAACAGTTATGTACTTTGACTTGCTCTCTTGCAGCTGCTGGTTGATAAGATATTGCTTGTTACCAAATAGGGGTGACTTTAGTTACATAAAAACTGCATCTCTCCATCTCATGAAAGTTGTAGAGGCAAAGGCTTTCTATATGAGCCCTTGACCTTGAGGAGGCTGCTCAAAGAACAGCTCACTATTGAAAAGTGTAAAACTTAGGATGGTATTGAAAGCCTGTAAGTTAGTGAAACTATCTCAAGCCAGCTGTTTTGTCAGGGAGATCTATTTTAAAGTACAGTGAAGCTTGCACTAAGGCTGACTTGTCAGTGTCCATAAAGTATGTAGAAGATGAAAGCTGTGTGCTAACAGCTAGGGGGTTCTATTCAAGGCTTCCAGTACAGTCTAAAGGCCACCTTTCTACTAGTCTTCAGGCCCTGGCAGGTGGTTTTAATATTCTGCAGCATAATTAAGGCTTTGTTGAAACTTCTACCCTGTTTAATAAGCTTTGTACTATAGAGGATGCTTTGTTGCATGTTGCTCCATGAGGGAGCCCCTCTGAGGTCATGGCCTTCATACAGGCAATGAGTTGTGGTCCCATCTATAACTAGTCAGATCAGATCTCACACTGCACATTATCTTCTGTCAGACACAAGACAATGGTATGCTTGTATTGCATAACTAAGGCAATTAGAGGGCTAAACCAAGAATGTACTGAACTGCTGTCACTGTAACTCAATCCTTCCTTCTAACAGGGCTTTTAAAAAAACCTCTCAAAAACCTCTTAAGCTGTGTTAATTAACAGCTCTTTAGGAGGGGAAGTGCCACCTACTAGACAGATTAAAAAAGGCTGGGGAAAGAGGGTGTTTCTGGAAAGCTTTTTTTTTGGTTAAATTGTACCACCAAGGGCTAGCAATCTAAGCCACTGTATTTATACTAAGCTAAAAGTGTAACATACAGTCTTGTGTATTTCCTTCTTCTCTGGGCTTATCACAATAGAAATGGAAATGTTGTTAGCACTACACATTCCTGAATGAGAAGGAAGCTACCTGTACCATGGAAACATAGCTGGCCTGGTGCAATAGCAAAGACAAAGGGAGAGATTGGACCACTTGACAGAAAATGTAGATTTCATGTCACTCACTCTACACAACTGACTAGTCAGCCCTGTAACAGTGGTAAGTTGCGTTTTAGTAAACAAGGCATTGCTTAAATTCTTAAATATGTAAAATCTCAAAGTACAGAGTATTGGAAATATAGAAGTATGCAGTCCACTAGAGTGGAGGCTTTCCTTCCCCCCCCACCCCACCTAAAACAACCTATGCAATAGATAACTAGTCCCCCCCACCCCACTGAAGGCTGCAGGGAACAAAACAACTTTTCACTGTGACAAGTTTTTTAAGAAATCAAAAGTCACATGTACCTGTGACTGACACCATTTTCTGTGTCAGTACAGACTTGAGATTAAAATGAATAGCCTAGCTTAAACACTGGACTCTAGAAGGGCTTCTCTAATATTAGGCAAGTAGGGAGTTTACAGTATCTATGTACAAAACACTGATATGATTGCACTTTAAGCCCACATCTGTCAGTTACACACAGTGATAGTTCAAGCTGCTAAACTGTTTGGTTTGAAACTAGCTTTACCACACTGACCTCTTTACATAAAGATTATCTTTCTAGTAGTAAAGTTTTGAAGATCTAGAAGACAGGCACTATAAACAGAGCTGTACCCTGAAAATCATCTTTGGCTGATATTGCCTCTGAAAAGCAGTCTCCACACTCACTTTCCTAGGCTTGAAGTATTTAAGCTACACAAGAGTGATGTACCATTGAATAAAGTTGTCAAAATATGGAGATTGTACAGTAATCCCTACAAGCAGGTGTTCATATGGCTTATACCATTCCTACAAAACATTACTTTAGAGCAACATATAGCGATGCTAACCAAGATAGTAATGCCTTTAATGCTTAAAACTAATTCCTCTGACAAATGCTAAGTGACATCTGGGGCTAGAGTAGACCTCCTATACTAATTTTACAGTATAACATTACTTTTCAGATTTCCTGCTAGCCCCATTACTACACAAGACAGGTGGTCCAGCTAGTCCACCACCCAAACTCCAAAAGAGGCCAATACCAGCTGCATCAGCAGAAGCTGCAAGAAACTCTACAACAGATGAGGGACAATCTGCCCCATGTGAAGGTCTCATTCAAATCCCTGAAGCATGAGGCTTTATATTCCATCCAAAGCTTGTTAGAATTAACAAACTCTGGCTATTTTTAATATCCACTCCCTCTGAATGATATGAACCTCCACCATCACTTCTACTTAACACTCTACTACGCAACAAGAGACTAGGAGGTAGATAAAACACATTATTTGCAATAGAAGAGCAATCTTAGAGAGTGAAAAGGTCTATATAGTATTCTGTAGATGATTATAGCCATTTTCTTCCAGGTGGCCTAGAATATGCTGTGAAAGAGACAGTGAAGAATAGCTGGAGATACTGACACGTAAAGGGATGTCCACCCATTTCTCACCAGTGTAGCAGCACTAGAGGTAAAGCTCCTGGTATCACTTATAGAACTCAAGCTATGAGCAAATGTCTAATTAGCTCCATATTTAGACTGGGATTACATGGTGTTAGTAGTAGCCCATGCTGGAGTTATCTAGGGCAGCTGTAAAGAAAAACCATTCCTGTTTCAGGAGAAAGTAGGGAAAAAAAACAATCTAGCAGGAACCTTCAAATTACATTCTGGGTTTAAGTGGAAATGCTAAACAGACTGACTACAGTAGATATCCCAAACACCTTAGGCAAAATGTTATGAAAGTGTAGCTTTTTCCTAACCCTCAAAGTGTAAATATCTCCCACCCTTGAACCCTGCCATAAAGCAGCTGAGGGTTCTCCACTATTCCCTAGCATACTAGTTTCACTGAACCATTACTACTAAGCTCCGGGGGGATGCCATAACCAGCTCACTTTAACATACTTTCTGAATTTTGAACTTGAGCCTGAGTAGCTGCCAGCACTAAATAACAAAACCAGAGTCGCTGCCAACCAGCAAGACCTAGCACCAGAGCAGGTCTGACTCCGAAACAGTAGTTGTTAGGCTCTCAGGTGCCACAAGTACTCCTTTTCTTTTTGTGAGTACCACTAGTCTATTTCAAACCATGCAAAGCAACTCTATTCTGGAGGGAAGCCAGCATCCATAGAACCTTGTCTTCTGAAAGCTAGGCTGAAGCATTTCTATTTTCCCCCTTAAAGGTCCAGAGGGGAGGCAAGGGGAGAAAGTGCTGAAGTTTCTTTAGCATCACTGTGGCACAGAATAGCATTTCTCATGTACAGTAGGTTCAGGTGGGATGGAGTAAATGTGGGGCTGTAGGGAAGGTAGACAACTCTTTGAAAATTCTAGTGAAAGTGCAGAATAAATACTAAAAGGCAGAAGGACGAGAACACTCCTCCTCTAACCACAAAACTGCAGAAAGAGTGCTGAAAATTCAAAGACATTACCCCAAATGCATTGATCTGACCCTTGATACCTTCTTTATTCCTCTAACAGCGCTGCTTCCTGTTAAATACCCCCAAATAATCTAGCCTGGTACAAAATGTAATTTTATAGACTTCACTGAACATAAATAAGTTGCCTGGTCATCAGCTGTAAAGAATGGAGAGGGCCAGGCCACAGCTTTCCCAAGAGGGCTGTGCAGTCTGCAGCTCTCACTCCTCACTGATGAAGATGCGCCCTGTCATCTGGACGCTTAATATGAATCCTTCGCACACGTTCAATGCGCTCCCGCTCCTCGTCCTCCTCCAGGTGATGAGAGCGGCCTGCTGCCCCTCCCGTAGCCTCCAGAAGCGCGTTGTCAGGTCCTCGTCCATCCTGAGCCTCGTAAAGCAAAATGTTCAGTGTCTCTTCATAAATTCGGGCTTCTGGGAACTCCACCTGGGTACCCAAAACAGCTAGGTTAGGAGAAGCAAAATCAATCTTACTCATTCCAGGCCCCCCTCCAGTTTTTATGTACCCTCTGGTATTTAAGAAATCCTCTCCATTATTCTTGGGTGGTGGTACTCTGCAGGAAGTGTGAAAACTTGCAAAAAAGTTACAAGGTATTAAGAGGAACCCTTGAAGATCTATGTTTCTGTGCTCCACCTGCTGGCTTTCAGCCTCCGATGTCCAGCATCCAGTGCTCTCAGACCTGAGCCATTACCCCAAAAAGGCAGATGCAAAGACAGATTATTTCTGGGCAAGGTAAGATTGTACGTGAACAGAATACTACTGGTTTTCTTTATACAGTTAAATAAGTGAACCTGGGTGAGTGCATGAGTGGGTTTAAAGACCAGAACTTGCATTTATTTGTATTGTGATAGCATCTGGAAGTTAATACCCTATTGTCCCTGCCCCACAGAACTTACAATTTGTTTGACTGCTCTCGGCCCGCTCCTCTGTAGAAGGTAGAGTGGATGCTCTCAGGAGGGGAGGGCAATTAAAGGAAGGCTTCAAAACAGAAGTCAGGACATTACTCTTACAGCAGCTACTACACAGCATGAATGAGTTTTATCCCTACCTTTGTCTGTTTCTTCTCAGTAGCGTAGACAATGGAGGTGCAGCAGACCTCAGCAATCTTACGCCCCTGTCCATAGAAAGACCAGCAGCAAATCTCATCTCCTATCACATCCTTAATAAAGAGGACTCTCCCGTTAAACCGCAGTGACAGCTTATCAAACAGCTCAATGTTCTTCAGCATGTTGTCATCAGAATTACTGCAAGAGAACAGGGCATCAGTCAAACAGAGTTAATGCCATGCAGAGGAAATGTCAACAACTAAGGAGATTCAGGCAGCTGGAGGTCTAGATGTCCTGCCTCCCTTTATTTACTGTACCAGCCATCAAGGTTGTGTTTAGACTTGAGCGCTAGGGCTGCTTCATCCCACTAAGAATCACTCACTGCATTAGAAGAGCGAGCCTGCAGCTGAAGGGTGACTGGCCTTCAGTGGAGAAGGTGCAGAGTGTAATACAGCATCAGTGCTGGGAGTAACCACATCAGGATTCATCCCTCAACTAACCTATTCCATCTACTAAAGTTTAGCATCAGCTGGATTGGGCCAGTGCTGTCATGAGTTAGACATAGTCACATATGAGGACAAGAGCCCAGCCACCACGCCTACCCAACTGAGAGCCGCATAGGCACAGCCCTCTGACTCCTGGCCAACTGCCGACTCTGCAGGTAAAAACTCTGCAGTCCCCGCAGACGACAGGGCATCATCTTGTCATGGAGTCCCTGCAGGTCGCATCCGGGCATTAAAGAGGAAGCTCTTTATTGCTGCAAGTGTGCACTTAGCTTTCCACTGGAGAAGTTTCCATTTCTAACCCCCATTAGCAGTGACTCCACAAACAAAGCAGGAACAGGGCTTACTGCGCATGTCAACCACAAACACTCAGTAAAGGGAAAAGCCCATTCTCCTTGAATCTGGTTTCAGACCATTAATTTCCAGTTGAAACTGTACATTTAATAACTGATAGTGGAAGTTGTTTTACCTGGTGTAGGAATATTTGTTATTACTTCTGTTATACAGCAACTTTACTGCTGGCTGGAAAAAAACATGCAGGAAGCACAATTAGAGCACAATTTACTGGCTAGAGCACAGCTGCAGCCTTAGTTCCAGACACGCAGAGAAGGGGAAATATGAAGCGATAGTACTGTGCGTACACCCACTGTTTGTGGAAGTGATGCTGAGGCTGCTGCCTAGTGCTAGCATGTCAGCCCTGTAGGCAGGTCTTTGTCCCCAGGACAGGTACAGCACAAGCTTTCCCCACAGCGTGCCTTAACCCTGACTTCCCTGAGCTGTGGTGACCAGCTCATAGTTGACTCTCCATGGCCATTCCAGTCCTTTATGCCTCTGCTGAGATCCCCAATTAATGCCTGCTGTGGTGGCATTTTTTTGGGGGGGGGGAGGGATAGCAGGCACGAGAGTGCATACCTGTCTGCTAGGAACTGGAGCCACTAACATTTCAGGTCAGTCAAATATCAGTCACTATTGGGCTGGAAAGACAGGTGAAAGGTTCTATAGCCCCCTATTGATGCCCTAAGTCAACCTGTCCTCCCTACTGACTATTTGAATATGTAAGGCAGAGAAGGCCCCCACTGTAAGATGCATTGTTTTTTAAATGTAGACCCATTTAAAGACCTGGGTGAAAAGCTGTTTAACTTCTAATTCAGATAGAATAATGAGGTTGCAGAGAGATCAAGTATAATTTTCAGACTCACAAGTTAACAGATGGGTTCCTGAGCATGCACACTTCAAAAAACTAGTGTACCACATTCCAAAGAGTCAGCTGTCACTCTGGCTGGTGAGCTGCTGCCTTGCTGTAATGAGGGGTATGTGCAAACTTCCCCCAGGGATCAAGCACAGCCTGCTCCCTCTTACCTTATTGGATGTTGCTATAAGTTTTTGCTCTTCCTTAGAAGAAGTGATGACTGGTACTTTGCAGAATGGCTCGTATGCATCTTTGTTCTGCTGAAACAAGACAGTCCGTCAAATGCAGCAGGTGAATGGAAATCCACATTCGGGCCTTTGAACAAAATGCAGGAGGCCATCAAGGCTTCTCTCCTATTTAAGCCTGGGGTTAGTTACAGCGATGCAGACGGGAATGGTGGCTCACCCTTGTCTGAACCAAGAGGACTTGATAGAGCAGTGAGCTGACCGCATGAGACAGCTATGTTCCTTTGTGTAGGCATGCTGGGGTACAGGGACATTACATGCTTCCCCATCTTACCGCCCAGTGAGGGGAAGAGGTACAAGAACAGCTGCTGGGGTGCTTTGGGGAGCCTAGGCTCCAGCCCCAGGACTGCCTTAATGCACCATAGGCCTGTACCTAAGCCGTCCCTTCTGGGGTCATGTGACTCTAGATGCCCAACTTTTTCATTTTAAAAGGTTCCTAACTCATTTATGGAAAAATGTGATCTGAGCATAACTGATATAATGATGCCTGCTCGAGTCTGCAGAGAGCCTGAAACAAACAACAGCTCAGAGGAGTTAACTGTCCCATGCATCTCAAGAGGTTGTTCACTTCAAGACCCACTGCTCTGACAGGCCTACTCCACCCCTGCTGAAGGCTTTGGACAGGAAGGGATGAGTGCAGAAGATGCTAAGCAACCATGCACTGGCTGCTGGGGTCCCCCCCAGCTGCTGCTCCTGAGGGAGAAAAGCACCGTATGCCTTTGACTACACCTCTCTACCACCAGCACTCCACAAGGGTGTTAGGGTCAAAGGGCAGGCCAGTACAAAGAGCAGGCCAGCAGAATCTTATACTGGTGATGTGCAAACAGGAAAGAGCCCAACTTGACACTGGGATCCCAAGGGTGTTTGCGGTGCCTGCAGTTTTAACTATCTTTATTTGTAAGCTAAGCAGGTCTGATCTCCGACACGTACACACAGCTAGAATCCCAGGGCGCCATGCTTTAAGTTAATTACACACTGAGAAAAGAACTACTTGTCCAGAAGAATACTTGACCTCTCCTAACCCCTTACAGCCTTAACTATCCACATGCAAGCAAAGGGACAGGGACTGATTTCTCACTGTTTCCTGAGGACAGGGCAGGAAGTGGGATTAATCAGAGGGAATACTGAGGGCATAAGGAAAGGCTGACTGATAGAACGAGCTCAAGCCACTTGTACTGGCTGGGGACCAGGCTTCTCACTAGCTCCATGCTAAAGACTGCACACCTACCTGTAGAGCTGCCTGGCACTCATCCACAAGACCCTGAACCAGGTAATACTTTGCCTCGGCCAGCAGCTCTTCAATCTCTCTCCGGCTCTCGGGAAGAGGCACAGCCCCATCACGCAGGTAATTTAATATTGTCCCGAAGTGTTTGCCACAGCGGTCGATCAAAATCCAGCCTGGGAGGGATAAAGCAGGATACAGCTGAACAGGGGGAAGGGAAAGACTTAGGCAAAGAGTCCACACCCTCACTCTTCCCAACTCCAGCTGGCCAGAACATGGTGTAACACACTGCAGCTCTGCACAGAGGAGCCTATCCGCAGAACATTGCCTCACGCTGGTGCACAGCACATCCTACTGAAAGGCTCCAAAATCCTCCAGCTTGCTGCTTGAGGTGGCAGCTGGAACAACAGCAGGCTGTACTTCTACAGGGAATTCTCTGTGTGTATCTCCCCCCCCCCCCCCCCAATCCTTCAAGGGCGCATGGTGGGAGGCAAAGGGAGGAAGCTCATATCTTTCAACTCCCAAGCCACTGACCATCAGTTAGCTGAAGTGATAGCAAAACAAACAATTCCCACCATCAAATTAAACTCAGTTTTTCTGGTCTCTCCCCCCGCCCCATGGCTTTTCCTGGAATCCTGTCTACTGTTTTTGGACCTGCTAGCATACGTTAACCCTTGACTGCCCCCCAAACACACACACACACACACACACACACAACCACTGAGACAGATTTTCTATAACTGCAGCTAAGAGACAGCTAAATAGAGCAGAACAGAGGATTCCCAGGTACCTAACTGGAGTCTAACGGTATGTCTACACTGCACTAAGCCACCAGCGGCTGGCCCAGGTCAGCGGACTTGGGCTGGTGGGGCTCAGATTGTGAGGCTATAACATTGCAGTGGAGATGTTTGGATTTCAGGTGGAGCCCAGGCTCTGAGATCCTGCAGGGAAGGTCCCTTAGCTCAAACATCTACACAAGCAGTTTTACAGTCCCAGCCTAAGTCAGCTGATCCAGGCCAGCCCTGGGCATTTTACTGCAATGTAGACGAACCCTGAGGGACCTACAACCAGTCAAGGGCAGAGCCAGGGACAGAACCCAGGAGTCCTACCTGCTACAGCTGGCTCTCACATGCCTTAGAGCCCTTACTGTGCACAAACAAGAGAATGGTTAACCTAAGCAAAATTCCCCATCAAGCTGGTATTTAGTGTTTGTTCTGGGACAGACCACTCCCCCCAGCATGCAGGAAAGATTATTGTTGTTTTAAAGAACACTTATTTTCTCCCATCCCCTGCAGGGCCCTGATGAAATGCTTTCCACTCTGCATCCCGCACACTGGTACGGAAGGGGGGCTTGGGAGTGCCTGCTGATTCAGAGGTTTTATTTTTTTAAAAAACAATGGCACATTTGTGTGGAAAATAACCCTGCTGTCCCCAAGCAGCAATTACGCAAGAAAGGTGAAAAGGAAGCAAAGAGGTGAGTAAGACATGGATACTATGAAGGTCAGCAGAATCCTTGCAAGTCCCATTTCATCTTCCGTACTCCCAACCGGCATTGAACAGGAATAGCAAATTGATTAGGATATGAATGTTTTTAAAGTGCTTTGAAGATGTAATGTGAGTACGTGAGCAGTACAAGTGACGTGTGAGATAGTCCTAGATGCTGTAGCATTTCCTTTACGAAACCACCTGCTAAAAGGCACATTACTCACCAGTCCTGGGTAGAGATACTGGAGAGAAAGCGAAACAAAGCTTCAGCAGAGCTTATAATAGAATACATGGCACCCTTAATCTGAACAAGAAGTTCATATTTCATCTCCACGCAACAGTAGTCCATCTCCCGAAGCAGACCAAAGGGCTCAGAAAGGTATTATGCAACGTCCAGCTCAAGTTTCCATAAACAGGCGGCCATTTTTATGGGCTTCGACTCAAGAATGTACTCAGGAAATGCTTGTGGGGAAGGACTCATATTTTAGACAAATAAGGGAAAAGTAAGGTAAAGCATGCACCACATGGCTTGAATTAATGTAATTATTACTAAAACTCTGATTACTTGGTTAATTCTCCAGCCCCTAAGTTGAATATAGGTCTTTCCTACTGATGGCCTCCTTAGCAAGTGAGGTTCACTAGCATTCTACTCTGCACTTTTCTGTGTTTTCCCATTGCACTTGTGCTTTATATAGAGGTGCTGTTTGGTTAGGACTGCAGCTTCAGAGGGAGTGGAGGAATGTACTAGGAAGCTAGGGTGATTACACAGACCTGATTTACAGATGCTTGTTGCAAATTGACACAGGAATCAAACTACAGATTGTCCCAAATTACTGGGCATAATACAACATATATAGGGGCCACTGCAGAAGTTCCCAAGACCATGCCCTTTCACTGTAAGGGGGAGAGGGCACAGAACACACCATCCTCCCAAAACCCAAGAGCTATCACAGACCAAATGGAGCCAGTGACTTAATTTACTGGAGTTGCGTAGGGGGGATGGTATAGTGAGAATAGATGCATTCTGGGCACAGGACTGGGAGTCAATAACTCCTCAGTTCTCAACGCAGCTGTGACTCCCTCTCTGGACTTGGAAAAGTTAACTTCTGCTTTGGTTTCCCTATCCATAAACCTGTAGAAATGCTAACTTCCTAATGTCCCAGACAGCTGCAGCAAGGATGCAAAGATGTTTTAAAGTGCAAAATGGTGCTGGGTTGCTAAACACCACATTTAGCAATTCCATCCACCACCACATTTAGCAATTCCATCAGCCTTCACAGGTGCTCTTGTTCTTACTAGTCAGCCAAAATGTACTGCAAAAAGGAGATACTTAACAGGAAAGTGAGCCCCTCAGCCTGGCTGCTGCAGAGTTAAGAAAGCAGGTTTCATCTGTAGTTTGCAGTCTTATAAAGCTGTATTTTAATAATCATTGTTTTACAAAATGTTTTGGGATCCACTACTCAGGCAGGAATAAATATCCCCAGGAGCCATAAATAGACACAATGGGAAACATGGGAGTTTAACTTTTGTTACACGAAGAGTTGAAGTGATGGCTCCCAAACACTGATACTAAAGCAGGCTAGAAGGAGCTGCTAAGTCTTAAATAATAAAATATCTTGGCATTAGATTACTTGGGGGTCTTCAAGAGGCTCTTGTTTAAAGCAGACTAATTAAATCTGGTCTCTCTTTAGAATCTAAAAATGCATATTTTAGAACAGCTGGGGAGACTAGGAATTCATGTTGCACAGAGTTCTCTGTGCAAAGACACAAGTCTCCCACAAAGGCCCCCTACTTCTATCCCGCTACTCCAGTAAGATGTAGATTTTGAAATATGCAGGTTTCTTTATTTTGCAGATTAAATCCGTAAACTGAAAAGAATCTACATGCATAGATAACTGTAGCCATTTCTATTGTAAATTGCAGGGGGGGGAGGAGAGAAGAAGTCATACTATGGTGAAAAACACTTCCTATTTTGTGCTAGATTTTGGGTGTGACTGAAGAACACAGTATTTGAAGGCTTTCAGATAAGGGTAGTTTCCTTTAAACACTATGATACTATTGTCCTGGTTTCCATTAACACTTTCAAGTAATACCAGGCAGTGGAAGATAAAACATTAGCTACTGCAGCAAGAGTATCTCATTTCTATGTGCAAGAAGTGTTAAAATCCCCCTGAAACACCAGCACAAACTGGCAAATGAGGCATTCCTACATCACGAACTGTGAAAGTCAGAGCAAAGCAAACATGGTGTTCTAAAAGAGTCAGATCCAGATGGCCTTATACCCTTAGCAGTAGTACCTTCAACTTTCCCCTCCCTGCAGAAGAGAGAATCTGTCCACACGTAGAAAAGTGGATTTCATATTTGAGAGACACATTGTAATAGCACTTGTACTGTATCCATCCAGAGCACTCTGGGTGAAGCTCTGAGACCGTACATTAGGCAGCATTTGTTGAGGAGTGAGTGGACAGTGCCAGGGCATAGTTTTAATCACAGTTCTAACTCACTTGCTGTGTGGCCCTGGATAAATAATTCACCTACGCTACAGATGAGGAAACACAGAGAAGTTATGGGGCTCTCCCTACTCATAGGGATAGTGGGAGGATTAATGTTTGTCTAACACTATACGAATTCTTTTGATTCGGTGCCGCTGCCGAAATTCTGAAAACGCTGCAAAAGAACTAGGGTGATGAATTACATTCAGTAGGTTGCATTCTAGTGCTGTCATTAAACTGGAAGCAAATGATGATTGAGTAGCTGGCACACTTCCCTCTGGATCAGCACTGAACCAATGTTCCACTGGCATTATGGGCTGTGCCGCTGGATGTACAGCGTGGTAGATGAAATGTAATAGAACAGCCCTATGGTTAGTAATGATCCCATGAGACATTTTTCAAAAGTAATCATGACCAACTTGGATAATTATATTCTTGCTTACCTACCTATAATTTCTCCTGTATTTTCCATGCAAGAGGGACCCTCTCTGCTTCTTACCCTAACCTGTTAGGTAGCGTAGTTGTGCACTGTTAAACAGCTGCAATGTCCGACTGCAGAGATCCCTGAATTTTTGTGGTGAGGAAACTGATCTCTTAGAATTCTGTATAGTACTTGGATACTTGAAAAAGCCACTACAAAAACTGAAACAAACTCAAATATTTCCCTAGTTGTTTAGAGATGGACTCTAGCTAAAATGGTAATACTTTAATATTAAATGGCGTATTTCTCACAGGTTGGCTGCGAATCCACTTCCTGTTCTCACAAGAAAGCTGTCAGGAGGGCCTTATTTAAACCATAGCTTATTTCTCCCCAGCGCTAAACACATACTAGACGTACTACGGCACTGAAAACTAAGTTCAGTTGCTCCAGTTGAGGAGCAAGACATAATCCATCCTCAAGACAAGTTCAAACAGTCACTACAATAACAAGCTAACCAACAGAAAAGAGTTTTCAATCTCTAAGATCAGTCTACTAATGAACTATTGTCAAAGACAATGAGTGTATAAATCTGCAAACATGGGAGCTGTCGGATAATGGGCAAAATGCCAAAACACAAATAGAAAGCTGTGCCTGGAATTAAAGTCAGTGGGACTCCCACACTCTGGGAATGTTGATATTAAACTGGGCTAAACGTTTTGAACAGCCCTCAGATGATGAAACTTCTTGATCCTTGATCTAAAAGGATCAAGTTTTCTCCCATGACTTTTAAAAAGATAATCAGTCCATGTCCTTGTGGTAGGGAAGGAAGATAGTTTTGACCATTGCCTTTTAAAAAAGAGCCTAATTCAGAACATTCTGAATGATCCCTTTGCAGATGGACTTGACTAAAGAGATCCATTTGCTAGCAGCTTTTACATTATAGTTTTTTGCTCGTCTCATATATGCCCTAGTAAATTACTAACATCACAATTATTCAGATGCAAGAAATTCATAATTAGGTGTCAGTAACCTCAGTACAGGTGGCTTCTTTACATTTCATAACTGGTTTGTTTTCTAGAATTCAACAATATGTAACCTCACATGAAAAATGAAGTTACAGCCCCTTTCATCCAAGGATCCCCAAAGCGCTTAATACACTAAGACTCACAACCCTCACAAGGGAAGTTTTAGCACTGTATTACAGACAGAGAAATCAAAGTCATCAATTAACCTTTCAGCCTCAAGGTCAAAAAGCAGGTCTTGACTCCTAAGCCCTTGTGCTAACCACTTCACGCAGTCCCTCTAACAGAGTACTTTTAATCTCAGTGTTTCAGAAGGAAGCAAAAGTTTATTCAACTGGGTCTGATCAGGGCCTTTGACTTTATCATAATCTAAATAAGAGGAGGGTTGTGGCTTCAGATAAATAAGATTAAAATCTTTCCTGTTTCACGGCTTTTCTCAGCTGTATAGTTTGCTAGCCATAGTAACAAAACAACAACAAATGCCTTAGAGAACCTGGGGCTAGGATAAGCTTCTTCACTACAATTGTCCGTTTTCTAATGTGTTAATCAATCTTAACTGAAAGGTTATTTTTTCCCTGCCATGAGTCTCTAAATGACGTGAACAGTGTCTCTTTACCTTCGCTGTCGGTGAGAACCTCCATGCGGCCACTGAACATGGCCTTAAGCATGGTGTCCTGCTTGGTCAGGGTCTGCATTGTGGTGTAGTAGAGAGCGCCACCAATGTTCAGCTTGACATACTTGGAGCTCGGGCTGGTCCCTTTGAAGGAGGTGGTGCGAGTCGCAGCTGCCGGCACTGCTGAGCTCACCACGCTTTCTCCTGACATCTCTTCCTGAAAACCAGAGAGGTTGCCAATTAGGCCTGCTTTTGCACTGTGTACCACACAATTTACTGCTCCCTTGTAACATTTTATGTAGGTAATATTAATACACTGCTGTTCTATATCCCCAGCTGGGAAACTCACAGTACCTCACGATATCCTGTCAGGTAGCTAAAGCTTATCTCCATTTTGCAGCTGGAGGAACCAAGGTTAATGTTTTGCCCAAGCTCTCAACATGAGAGGGGCAGAGCTGGAAATAAAGCCAGGAGTTCTGGCTCCCACTCCCCTGCCCTACACCCTCCCATTGCATGAAAACTGCTTCTCCTATGCCTATCTCTGTAACAAAGTATGGAAAACTCTAGGGAATGGTTTCAGGACTTTTTACTAGAGACCTGCCGTGTAGTAGTTTAAAGCCATGCTGACCAATTTCCTGCAGCTATGGCAAACAGAGCAAAGTTAAGCTAAACTGAAATCCAGAGCACTGCCTATTAGCATTCACTCTTTGACTGTCCAATGCCTAACTTTTTTTTTTTTTTTTTTTAAACGCAGCAGGTTACTTCCCCTTTCTGAACTAACTTCAAGTTTACAATGGCTTTGAACCCAATGGAGGCATTTAAAGCCAACATTTTTTCCACACTAAACAGCTACTCTCTATTCACAGCACTGCAGACAAAATCTTGTGCATGGAAGATTCTGGACTTTCATGCTATTTCACTATAAACTGTTTCAGCTGATCTGAATTCACTATAAATGGGTTCCACTGTTTAACTTTCCATATTGGGTGTTATTTCAGTCTCAGCTCCTCTTTGCTACCTTTAAATATTTTACTTAAAGTCACAAAGAAACCCTGCATACAATCTCCTGAGGATTAGACAAGCCAACCAAAGAATGTAAATAAACTAAACCAGTGCAGAGTTTTGTGAACTCTGGGCAGCATTTTACAGCCAGCATCTACCTGGCTAAACTGAGTAGAAGAATGAAAAAGTGCATTCATCTCTCCAACTCAAAACTCACAAGATTTAAATTCTTCTGGGAAGTGGCTTAGTTCAGCCAGCATCTGGCATTTGAGTACATTCACACCTGTACAGGGAGTCAGACTGGATGATCTATGAAACTCTTACAAATCTCACTGGCTGTGATTCAGAGTGCAGATTTCAGTGAGAAAAAAGATATTTAGTGAGTGAATTTAGTGCTCCTGAAACTGAGGGTGAGTGCACATTTGTGAATGTAGACTTCTCATCTCCATACATTCACAGTGCTTTCAATGCATTTAGGATGGTGTATAATCTCCTACTATTGTTGCCTTGAGATTCTCCACACGCTGTTCCACTGAATTACTTCCCTTCTAACCTGTAGCATCCATACTGTATCATGAACCCTCCTGAGCAGAGGCAATATTGAGAGATAATTTTAAAATGTGGACATGTGAGAACTAAGATAAAAAGCTTCCCCACCAATTCATTTCCCACTGGTCATCTAATAAGAATATCCGACTGTGAGCTCTAGAGCAGAAAGGCTCACACACTAATCAACAGTTGCTCCAGGCAACTGAACACATTTGCATTTTTGTACATCAAAAGACTGAAAGGGAGATAAGTTAGCCGCATAATTAATATATATGTTGCTCTCTGACTCACTCATGACCAGGCCTCTGCCAAATCACTACTTTATGGTTAGCCTCAGGCTCCTACAATGCACCAGAATGGGATGACTAAAGCACAGCCACCTCAGACAGATCGAGGTCCTACAGTCTTTGGGTCAAACAGTCTTCCGCACACATGGCTAGAAGCCACCTCTTAAATCATCCATGTTCTGCTGCTGTTCAGAGACCTTTAATGCAGCTGGCAATGCAGGTACATGAGCTGGCTGCGTTTGGTAGGCAGAGCCTGGACAGAGGCTATCAGGCAGCTCAGAAAGGTAGGGCACTAGGGGACCACTATTCATAGCAAGGTGTCTCCTTGCTACTGTTAGTAGAGCACAGAGCGAGGCAGGGCCAGCAGGACCCCCCAGCTAGAGTGATAGTAACAGTAGACCCAGGCCCTAGACTGCACTGCACAGCCCCCCTACCCCGCCCTGCTGGGGGGCAGGAGCAGCACCCCACCCTGCTGGGGCACGGAGACAGCAACTGGCCATAGACCACCCAGCAGCACCAGCCCTCGCCCAGTCCTTGCCCCCACTCAGCCGGGGCCCCAGCCCAGCCCCCCGCACACAGCCAAGCCCCCCACGGTCCTAGGACCCCCAGCCAAGGCCCCAGCCCAGCCGCCTGGGTCCCCCTCCAGCCAAGCTCCCCCCCGGGTCCTGGGAAACCCAACCCAGCCCTCAAGGGCCTCCCCACAGCCAAGCCCCCCACGGTCCTGGGACCCCCAGCCAAGGCCCCAGCCCAGCCGCCTGGGTCCCCCTCCAGCCAAGCTCCCCCCCGGGTCCTGGGAAACCCAACCCAGCCCCCAAGGGCCTCCCCGCAGCCAGCCCCCCCCCAGGCCCCAGCTCAGCCAAGCCCCCCAGACCCCCGCACACAGCCAAGCCCCCCACGGTCCTAGGACCCCCAGCCAAGGCCCCAGCCCAGCCGCCTGGGCCCCCCTCCAGCCAAGCTCCCCCCCGGTCCTGGGAAACCCAACCCAGCCCTCAAGGGCCTCCCCGCAGCCAAGCCCCAGCTCAGCCAAGCCCCCCAGACCCCCCCCGGTTCCGGGACCCCCAGCCCAGCCCAGCCCCCCGGGCCTCCCCCCAGCCCAGCCCAGCCCAGCGCCCCCGCCCCCCCGGCCTCGCGCCCAGCCCCCCCGGCCTCGCGCCCAGCCCAGCGCAAGGCGCAGCCCGCCGGGGAGCCCCTCCCGCCCCAGGGGCTGGGCTGACCGGCCCCGGCGCCGGCGCTCACCATGAAAAGCCCAAGCGAGTCCCCGAGGCAGCTCCGCGGAGAAACCGGAAGCACCCGGGGCGGGACAGGCGAACTTCCGCCCCTCGCTCACGGCCTATTTTCGGTCCCAGGGTCACCTCACTTCCGCCCCGCAGAGCGCTCCGCCCAAACCCGTCCGATGTCCCCCCCGGCCCTCGCAAAGCGCGGGGCCCGCGGGCCCGCCCGCGCCCCTCGGCCCGCCCGCTGGGGCACGGGAGGCGGCGAGCCCGGGGGGCCAGGGCTGGCGGGGCCCCCGCGCCCCCGGGAGCGGTTCGCGGGGCCCCTGGCTGAGCCGGGCCTGCGTTCCCGGGCGGGTCGCTAAGCGCGGCGCACAGGCGGCGGCCCCGGCCTGGCGCTCCGAGGGGGAGGTGCTGCCCCCCCCCCCCCCGGGCGTTCGCGGAGGCGGCCCCGGCCGCGCTGAGGGGCGGGCATGTGAGGCGGCTGCTCAGCGGGGTCTGGGCCAGGGTGTCGGGCAGGGGGGGGGGTGCGGGGGGGGGGGGGGGGGGGGCGGGGGGGGGGCGGTGTGCTGGGGGATCCTGGAGGGGTGTGTGGGGGGGAGGGTGGGGGTTGGGGGGGGGGGGGGGGGGGGGGGGGGTGGGGGGGGGGGGGGGGGGGGGGGGGGGGGGGGGGGGGGGGGGGGGGGGGGAGGCGGTGTGCTGGGGGTGTCGGGGGGGGGAAGGCGGTGTGCTGGGGGTCCTGGAGGGTGTGTGGGGGGGGAAGGCGGTGGGGGGGGGGGGGGGGGGGGTGTGCTGGGGGATCCTGGAGGGGGTGGGGGTCCTGGAGGGGGGGGGGGGAAGGCGGTGTGCTGGGGGATCCTGGAGGGTGTGTGGGGGGGGGGGGGGGGGGGGGGGGGGGTCCGGAGGGGTGTGGGGGGGGGCGGTGTGCTGGGGGATCCTGGAGGGGGTGTGTCGGGGGGGGGGTAGGCGGTGTGCTGGGGGATCCTGGAGGGTGTGTGGGGGGGCGGGGGGGGGGGGTAGGCGGTGTGCTGGGGGATCCTGAGGGGGGGTGTCGGGGGGGGGGGGAAGGCGGTGTGCTGGGGGATCCTGGAGGGTGTGTGGGGGGGGGGGGGGCGGTGTGCTGGGGGATCCTGGAGGGGTGTGTGGGTGGGGGAAGGCAGTGTGCTGGGGGATCCTGGAGGGTGTGTGGGGGGGGGAAGGCGGTGTGCTGGGGGATCCTGGAGGGTGTGTTGGGGGGGGAGGCGGTGTGCTGGGGGATCCTGGAGGGTGTGTGTGGGGGGAAGGCAGTGTGCTGGGGGATCCTGGAGGGTGTGTGTGTGTGTGGGGGGAAGGCGGTGTGCTGGGGGATCCTGGAGGGTGTGTCGGGGGGGGGGGGGGGGGGGGGGGGCGGGTGCTGGGGGGATCCTGGAGGGTGTGGGGGGGAGGCGGTGTGCTGGGGGATCCTGGAGGGTGTGTGGGGGGGGGGGGAGGCGGTGTGCTGGGGGATCCTGGAGGGTGTGTGGGGGGGGGGAAGGCGGTGTGCTGGGGGATCCTGGAGGGTGTGTCGGGGGGGAAGGCGGTGTGCTGGGGGATCCTGGAGGGTGTGTCGGGGGGGGAAGGCGGTGTGCTGGGGGATCCTGGAGGGTGTGTCGGGGGGAAGGCGGTGTGCTGGGGGATCCTGGAGGGGGTGGGGGGGGGAAGGGGGTGCTGGGGGATCCTGGAGGGTGTGTCGGGGGGAAGGCGGTGTGCTGGGGGATCTGGAGGGGGGGGGGGGGAAGGGGGTGGGGGGATCCTGGAGGGGGGGGGGGGGGGGGGTGTGGGGGGATTGGAGGGGGGGGGGGGGGGGGGGGGGGGGGGGGGGGGGGGGTTGGGGGGGGGGGGGGGGGGGGGGGTTGGGGGGGGGGGGGGGGGGGGGGGGGGGGGGGGGGGGGGGGGGGGGAGGGGTGTGTGGGGGATTGGAGGGGGGGGGGGGGGGGGGGGTGTGTGGGGGTTGGGGGGTGGGGGGGGGGGGGGGTGGGGGGTTGGGGGTGTGTGGGGGGGGGGGGGGGGGGGCGGGGGGGGGGTTGGGGTGGGGGGGGGGGGGGGGGGGGTGGGGGGGGGGGGGGGGGGGGGGGTGTGTGGGGGTTGGGGGTGGCGGGGGGGGGGGGGGGTGGGGGTGGGGGGGGGGGTGTGGGGGTTGGGGGTGGTGGGGGGGGGGGGTGGTGGGGGTTGGGGGGGGGGGGGGGGTGGGGGATCCTGGAGGGTGTGTCGGGGGGGGAAGGCGGTGTGTGGGGGATCCTGGAGGGGGGGGGGATCCTGGAGGGTGTGTCGGGGGGGGGAAGGCGGTGTGCTGGGGGATCCTGGAGGGGTGTGTCGGGGGGGGAAGGTGGTGTGCTGGGGGATCCTGGTGTGGGGGAGGGAAAAGCGGTGTGCTGGGGGATCCTGGAGGGCATTTGTGTGTGTGGGAAAAGCATTGTGCTGGGGGATCCTGGGAGCGGGGAGGCGGTGGGTGACCTGGTGCTGGGATGGGAGGGCTGTGTGCTGCCGGGTCCTGGGAGTGAAGGGAGTGTGCTGGGGGATGGGGATGGGAGTTGACCTGGTCTGGGGAGTCCTGGTGGGTGACCTGGTGCTGCGGGGTCCTGGGGGCAGGGCGATCTGGTGCTGGGAGAAGGAGGTGGTCTGGGGATAGAGTTGCAACATTTTCGTGGAAGTGGTGTATGGGGGCAGGGAAGTACCTTGTGTGTTGGAGCGTATGTGAGTAGAGCATCTGGGGGCACTTGGTGCTAAGGGGTGAGCAGAACATGAGGGATCAAAAGCTGGTATGTTTGGGAGGAGGGGTGCTTGATTCTGTGTGACACATTCTTTTAGCTGGGAACTCTGTTAAAACGCTTGTGAAACTCTGAGGTTGCCTGGTAGCCAAATATGGTGACAGGTGGATTAGATGTATACAGGGAGATTTAGTGAAAGAAATTAGTTAATATTCATAATAACCTTAATCCTGGTGTTTTGTTCTTGTTATCCTATTTGTCAGGCTTTGCTATGAAATTATTGACATGGAAATTCTGATAGAAGAGTTTTACATGAGATAGAAACTTTTTCTTTACTTCCCCAGAGCAGCTTTGAGACCTATCACTTGCAGCAGGTGGACCAAAACCATGATGCACCTTTCTGTGTTTTGAGGTTTGTCCAATATTTCTCCCTGAGTGGCTGCTGGGTGATTGGGTAGGTGAGTACAGCCAAAGACATCTAGAACAACAAATGAAATTAATAGTCCCCCACAGTATCTAGAATTGATTGGTTTGTCTCTACAGAGACGAAGGGAGACTATATTTGAAGTCAGAGCAGATGTGGATCATGTTTGTATATGGATGAGTATCAGTTTCTTCTTCAGAAGCAAATCCTCAGGTGAGTTTTGTGTAAAGTTTTTATAAAAATTCTTTGCCTTTAATATTCACACAGTAGAAATGTACGCATCAAATGCATCTTAGCTTTGAAGGCTCCATAAATATTGAAACTGTCTCTAAATATTTACCAAGCAATTCGCCTGTTACAGATGCAACAGAGTGGGCCAGTCTAGATGGTTTAGGGGCAGAGCAACATTCTATCACGTTGAGGTAGCTGAGTTCAGGACCTGTTTCAGCCTCTTTCTTCCTTGGCTGGGAGCATGGTGGAAGCAGCACATTTAGGGTCATGAGTGACCTTATCCCTACCAAAAGTGGCTTTCTGGAAGGACTAGCCTCCAGCCTTTCCTCACTAGAAGGACAGGTCAACCAACTACAGGGCCATGAATTGGGGAGGTAATGGGGAAGTTTCCTACAAAGAAAGATGCTATATAGTCCCCATTTACCAAAAGGGACACTGGGAGGTTCCCAACATGCTTGACAGCTGTTTCATGGTCTAAACTGGGGTAATTCCACTTGGACAAACTGGGTCCTTCCATCACCTCCTTTATTTTTATTTTAGACAGTTCTGTTGTTATCCACCCTTGTTTCCCTGCCCTTCAGAATTCTCTATAGACTCTAATTAAAGCTGATGTGGGAACATGACAAGCCGGTGGGGGTGAGGCGGAGATTTGGAAGTAGGAGAGGCAAATGTGCTGGCTGATGGAGTTCTGGTACCAGTCCTGTTCTTGTTTTCCCCTTAACTCTGCTGCTGACATGTCGCGCTTTTGGTACCCCATGTGTGTTGTACTTTGGGGCCCCATTTTTCTCTATCTCATGCTCTGTGTTCTGTGGACACGTCATTTCCTCTGTCTAAAGGCGGACATAGCCTGTCCAAACCAACCAAAGCCGGTCTCTTGGAGCGATGTAGGGAATTGCCCCTTCATGCACACCTGCCCTGGGGCTATATGTTGTGTCCATATCACTCCCAACTCCCTAAACACACTTGCTGCATGTATTCTAACATCCAGGTAACACCTTCTTTCCCTCCCCGATCTCATCTTTGTGGAAGGTTGCAAAAATGTTCGGTACAGCACAGTCGTCCAAAGCCCAGTTCCTCGATAAAGCGCGTCAGGCCCGTGAGGAGCGGAGAGAGCTGAAAGAGAGAGAGCGAGCCGCCATTCAGATCCAAGCCCTGATTAGGAGGTTTCTTTGTCGATGCAGGCTGCAGAGGGAGATCAGGTGTGTGAAATTCCACCCCGCGGGCTTTGTTGCTTGTTGCGAACTGAGCTCTTTCTGTAGATGACAGTGGCTTTTTAAAACGCTCAACATTTGATTCCTCCTCCTTCCCAGGAGAGAAGTGGAGGATTTCTTTGAAATAAATGAATCTGCTCCCAGTAAAAGAAGTGCACTTTCCATCTTCAAAATTTCCAGGAAACTGCTGTTTATTTTCAGAATTAAAGAGGACAAAGAGGTAAAGCTGCTGCTGTGACACATTTCCCCCCCCTCAGATTAAAAATGTACAATGTATTCTATATGTTTAATATATATGAACTGTTACTTGGCTTGTCAAATGGGTTGTTACAACATGGAGGGTTCAGAGCGTGACCTGCAGCTCCTTTTGTCTTGTAATGCCATGGTGAGGACAGCGGGGAGACAGCAGGACTGAGAGTCGAGAACTCCCGAGTGTTTGGTCCTGGCTCTGACACTCAGTTAATTTGAGCAAGTCATTTACTAACGCACCCGATGGGCCAGCTAGCTCTGGTGTAAAGCACCATCACACTCAAGCAAGAGG